CATTTTTTTTTTATAATTAAAATATATTTAATGAATACAGATGAAAATTATCTTCCTCTTTTGACATTTATATATATATGTCATACCCCATTTCACCTGCGTAAGTTTTGTTATTCTTCCAAAAACAAAAGAAAATGGAAGGAAAGGATTACAAAGTTTAATGAAACTTTTATCATATTAAATTTACTTTTGTCTTTTTAAAAACAAAATATAAATACCATTCGAGTCATGGGCATGTTTTTATTCTCTCTAACATTTTTCATTGTTAATTGTAAATTGTCACTTTGCCTTAAATGATGTTTAACACAATCTTTATATTTGTTTTACCACTTTTTATCTATATATTTATATTTTAAACATAAAAGGGTATAGTTGTAAATTTATTAAAATGGCTGTATTTTTTTTTTTTTTTTTTTTCCAAACATGATTAAATGTTAAGAATGACCAGCCCAAATACAATAAGAATTAACACTATCATTTCGTTTCATTTCTTCTCTCTTGTAATTAACTAATATTATCTTTTTTATTTATTTATTTTGTGCCTCCTGTTATACCACATAGCCTAACTCTGTAAACGCAAAAGCTGTAAACATCTACTAAAAGCCGTTTAACATTCTCCGTTCATGCTATAAGGTTCAACATTGTTTACAAAATTTTAAAATTATTTTGTTACCTACCAATTTTTATTTTTTATTTTTTACCAAGTCGGGCACCATGCAATCAAAAAGCTGAATATTGCCGACATATTTGGTTTGTATACCACTTAATAATTTCTTGTGTTTAAGGGCATGCTTGTGTTTTTACAACATTTTGAACAATAAACACGAAATATAAATGATTCTGAATCCCCCAACTAAACACGCATAGGTTTGTCATCGGGGCGGGTTCGGAATAGGGCACCCCTTTCTCACAAATATATATTTTCCTCCCAAACTTGCCCCACTTCGGGGTCTTGGAAGATTTGATTTACATATTTTTAATAAAAATAATTCAAATTTAAACAAATTTAAGATAATTTTTAGGGAAAAAAATTCAAGTATAGTCAGATATTTAACAATCAGAATAACAAGAATGTTGCTAAAATTTAAAATTATCATAAGAAATGAAAAAAAAAAAAAAATTAACTAATAAAAAAAAATTTATTTATAGCCATATTACTAGTTGGGGTGGGTGCGAGTTTGACTTTTTCAAATATGATCTATTAGGATGATCCCAACTCGTCCTAATAGGGGTGAGATCGTCCTGACAAGGGTAATTGATTGACATCCCTGCACTCACATAAGATATTTAATATATTGAAAATATTGAGATTAACTCTAAGAATATATTGTGAACATAGACAAAGATGATGCGCCGGTAAAAAGAGGACGAGTTATTTGTTTAATGGGCAAATAGCAAAGACACGGACCAAAAAATTGATAAAGATATCAAAAAATTAAATCTAAGAGAAAACATAGTGTACAATATGAAAAAAAATCATAAAAGCATGCTCCATTCATATAAGATAAAGACAAAGAGGATTATGATGTCAAAGAATATATTTTAAAAGTAGAGAATGTAAATTACGTCTTTCAAACAAATATTAAAATATCATATAGTTAATAAGAAAATTTATGTAACCCAAAACCTAGAAATGCACAAAAAATAAGTTGGTATCAAATTAATAATTTAATTAAGAGTAATTTTCTTGAGAGGACCCTCTCATGAGCTCCCCTTTTTAACTATAGAATTAAAAGATATATTAAATAATTCATTTGATTTTTTACTATTCTCCATAAATTGTCTCAATTTAATGGTTAAATAAGTGGAGTTCATGACTCTTTTATGAGTAGGATTTTTTAGGAGCATTTTGCATTAATTAACTAATATGAATGGAAATGGAAACAAAACCATGATAATTGACTTGAGATGAGGGGCCAATAATCTCTAATTTATTGGTTAAGGAATATTTTGAGTTAATTTGTATATTTGGACGTTCTAATTTAACTTTTACAAGGGACAAAAATATCTAATTTTAAATAATATGTGTGATTTATTGTGATTACACATATTCAAAATTAACTTGTAATCTCATGTATCAAAAGTCCCTTGATCAAAAGAATTCTTCCTTTCCAAACATTTCAAAAATAAAATAAAATAAAAGTATTGCATGTGGTCCACTTCATCTATCTAATAAGATGGAATGAAGATCGTCAAAAGTATTTTTTTAATGACTATATATAGCATATACTTGTTTATATATATATATATATAACTAAACACAAAATTGTAATTTTTTAAAATTCTTGTAGTGAATAGTTACACTGAATTGCTAGACTTATTTTTTTAATTGGCCAATTATGCAACAAATAAGGAAATAAATCCCTCCCTTTAGTTGTATTTGGTATAAATAATCAATTAAAAATTATTTGGTTAGATAATTCACTATAAGTGTTCGATATGAGTATCACTACTCTTAAAATAATTACATTGTTATTGTTGTGGACTCACGATACACTTGTTGCACTCGAGACACCTCAGTTAAGTCTCCTTCTCTCAAGTCTCAATCCCATAAATCACCAAAATTATTATATTATTGGATGAATTTTTAATAACAAAAAATAAATTTGAAACTTTATTACCGTTAACAACTCCAAACAATTCATTCTCAACAGAAATTTCTTGAATCCATAGATCAAAATTTTGAGTTCACTTGAAAAAAAAAAAAAAAAAAAAAAAAACTTCGAAAGAGATTATTCGGTGTGACAATAAAGGTTTGAACAATCAATTGTGAAAACATAAATTTAAACTTAAAAACAATTTATTCATGCAAATAAAATCAAAGGTTAAGCATATTCATAACAACTCATTAAAAGCCGAATAATGACATTTTCTAATTCAATTTAGATCCTAGACCGTTTCCACATTAGAAGCATTATACAATTCAGATCCGAGATTGAGCACGATTAGAGGTGAAAATTGTCTTAGAGCTACTAAGTTGTTGTTTGATAACTTCAATACTCAATTAGTAGTTAGTTAGTATTAAAAAAAGTATTGAAAGACACTAATTTGTAATTAATACTTAAAAAAAAAGTGCTTTGTTGCAAAAAGTGTTGTTCTTATTTCTTTGCATTTATTCTAATCATTTAATGTCACTCTTAAAATTCAAGCGAACAAATGACCAAACACCTTAAAATTATAAAAAGTTTGATCAAGATATGCTTCAAGTTATAAAATTAAGAAAGATGAAGAACTCAGATCTTCTTCTGTGCGACCATATCCTTATCCGAAGACGATTAAAGACTTTCATGATGTGCGGATTAAAATAATTTTCACTAGTAAAACCACGTGAGTGGGGTGGGGATCCATTGGTTCCCCTCTCAAATTTGCCCTCTAAAGAAGAAGAATGTGGTTGGAATAGGCTTTTATGTCCAAGTGACCACATGGTCCCCTGGTTTACTTCCTTTCGTCTCTCTCTATCTTGTGAGGACCACCATATGTGATTTCAAAATTTTCAAGTAACGGCAATAATGTTCAGTCTTTCATTACTCATTCAAAGTCTAAATCATTGTCTATACTAATTTCTCTTTTTTTTTCCCCAATCAATTCAACCTAAAAGAAGATTTAGACTTTGAATGAGTACCTCTTGCACGTTCTATGTGAAGTACTACTTGTTTTTTTTGTTAGGTTTATTACTCTAATTAACATATTTTTCTTTATCAAAATTTTGAGAAATTATTACATGGTTCATTTGTCCCGTGATAATTACTAGCCAACACAAAAATAAATACGTTAGTTTTATTCATTTTTTTGCTTGTGTATCAACTAGTGATTAGTCAGATCATGTAATAATTTCTCCTAATTTTTTTTTTCGGTTGCAAACATCTTGCCAAGTTCACAACATTTTTACCAGGGTCATTAGCCCTAACTTCCCTACCCTCAAAGAGAAGGGGAGGGGTTCGAGATTTAGTGTGGGTGCGTGTGTGATTTATGTTTCTAATTGACCACCCAATAAAGCCAAGGCAACATCATCCTAAAGTAAGTGGATCAGGGCAACTCTATTGAACTTCAGTGGCAAAACTAAAATTCTGAAGGCAAACATCCCCTAAAATCATTTTTTCCCAATCAAGAAGCATGTTGCAGCTTTAGTATATAGAAAACATTAGGAAACAGGAGAGACCACAACTCAAGCAGATAGGAGTGTTGAACAGGTCCCATCAACATGTCTCAAAATGTATCAAAACACCATGAAAAATATCAGCATTTTTCTAGTACAAAGTAGGTGAACAGAAACCGGATTTATAACCATGATTGAAGTGATGACATCTAGAATAAAGATGCCCGAGTCATATAAAAGTGTTTTGTTTCATCGATAAATTGAAAATCTCATAACTGTGGCCTGTCCATGCTATAAAGATCTTATAATCTTTACTTTTTAGAACAATAATGGTGAAGGGAATTGTCTAATACATCTAAATATATTTCAATCAACAGTCAAGCTTCCACCAAAGCTCAACAAGTCAGAGAAATATAAGTGCAATGTAAAATCATTAGAGAACATTTTGAAGGAGTTATCAAAAACCGAAGAGTTAGAGGAATCACAAATAATAGCTAATAGCTTGTAACCCGTAATAGTTGTAACCTATTTGGTCTCACGAGACTGCTACTTCTTGCTATTTTAAAAACAAAGTATATGCCCCCGGAGCTCCTACTCCTTTACAAACTTACCATGAAGAAAGCTCTCTACAAGCCCAAAGCCCCCAACCACCGCCAACCTCCATCACTGAAAAACCCAATTGCAAACCATCTCAAACCTCCCTTTGCTCCACTAAATCATCACAGCACCACACCTACCTACCTCCCAAAATCATTATCCAAACCAACACATCAACCAAAATCCACTAACACAATTGTCACACAACTGCAGACCAAGCAAACCATACCACCACCAAAGCTGAAAACACCCAAAGTAATCCTCAAAAAAATAGCACCTCCAATCACACACACACAAATATACCCACCACCAATTCCATCCCCAATATCTGGACAGCCTCACTCACATTTTCCTTCCCCCAAGCTGAGCTTGCCAAGGTCAAGTCACAGATCAGCCACCTGCAACAGCCTCCTACAACAGCCACCACAACCACCACCTCTTCCTCCAACGGCACAGAAGACACTACCATGGTGGGGCCAGGTTTGAACACAATTTCAAATTTGAATCCTATCACCCATGCTTTAGTCACATCATCTCTGCAGGCAAATGCCAAAAACAGCATGCACACAGTAATAGAAGGTACTAATTAAGCATAAGATTGGGAATGGAGCTAGTACCTCATTTTGGTGGGACAATTGGGCTCCTGGAGGTCCACTTTGCACCAGATTCTCTACATCTATACTAACTGCTGCAGGTATCAATGAAAATGCCAAACTTCAGCCATTCATTGGCAGCTCATCATGGTCTTTCCCTCAGACCATCACTGCTCAAATCCCAGAATTAATTCACATGCAGCCTCCATGTCCTGCTATCTATGACAAGAAGATCTGGATTGCATCAACCAATGGACACTACTGTTTCAGACAAACTGCAGCCCTCTTAGCAGGTCAATTTTGCAAGGTTCCATGGTATAACCCGGTATGGAAATCCCCAATTATACCTCGCATGAAATTTAATTTGTGGTTGGCACTTCAATGTAGATTGCCTACCCTTGACAGCAAATCAATGACTAAGCACCAAAATGTGTGTACATTATGCTCTAATTCTCCGGAATCACAAGACCACCTCTACTTCAGCTGCCCTTTCATTTCGCCAATATGGAGATATATCAAGGACAAATGCCACTTCTCAACTGCAATCACAAATTGGAGCAACTTGGTTATGCTTACTAGTCACATGTGGAAGTCCAACTCACCACAAAACATGGTTAGGAAAATTTGCCTATCCTTGGTGGTTTACCATACTTGGGAAGAACGAAATAGCAGAATTTTTAAGAAAAAGAATTGTTCACAGAGAGTAGTTCTCGCCAAGATTAACTCCTCTATCACCTCAATTCTTCAATTTGGTTTCCTTAGTGACTCAACTGTTTCGAGGAGAATTCTACTTGAATGGAATCTACCTCCATCATGCTGTAGACCCCCTTCCCATCCGTCAGATTGACAAGCTGCGAGGTTGCAGTCCTTAATTTGGATACCGGATTATGGTTTTGATGAGCTCAATGAACGGTTATTAACCGTTATTGTTCCTCATCTTTTGTTAATTTGGCTGATTTTGTGCCCTATGTTCCCTTTTGGGCTTATTTTGCGTAGTGGACTTTTACTTAAAGTCATGTATTGGGCTAAGGCCCCAACTTTGTACATATTTATCTTTATTATATATATCAGTTGCTTTATTCTCCTAAAAAAAAAAAAAAAAAAGTATATGCCCCCGAATTCACAACTCACAAGCTCAGATAACATACAAAACATTAAGCATTATGCCTGAACTGGCGACCATCTTATAAGTTTCCATTTTCAGATACATAATGAACTGCGAAATGACAATTATGAAGAACAAATTAAATGTAATCATTTAAAAAATACTGAAGCAAGAGAGCTTGCATGGTGCATTTTCAATTTGCCAATTGATGAACAGAGCAATTTCTTTCATAACAGTAATTTTCCCGGTCAGTATTCACAAAATCAAACAAGGAAAGCACAAGCAAAATTGAAAGAGATTGCTCATTATGTAAGTAAGTTAAACAAAAAGTTAATGAATTAATATATAAAAAAAATTAAAACATCTGGTATCTGAATTCCTATTTTGAACTTGCTAGCTCTATCACGGTTCCATCTCCTCAGGCATGGTACAGGTACCATCACAGCTCTGCAATCACCAAAAGGAGAAATTACAATTCAAATTCATCTTCGAGCTTCAATGCCTCAGCTGCAGCTTCCTCCTCTTCATCATCAAGTGCAAAATAAGGGTTGTGCACCTCAGGCCTAAAATTGTATCCAGTGAAAACATAAAATCCAAGGGTAACGAATTCAGAAGCCACGACACTCGTCCACTGATACTGATACGAAGTAATCGTCTCCAAAGCATAAACCACAACCCGGGTGAAGTAAATGTAACAGATAACAATAACATAATACTGCCTAAACAATGTCAATTTCATCAAGTTCACAGCAGCCTTCCCGTCAGTCTTAGCCGCCTCGCGCAGATTCTTAATCGACCACACAATCGGAAACAGAACAGCACAGCAGCAAATGACATCAACAAGCAAGAACACTTGCTTCCAAGTATACAAGTCATGCCCATACGGACCACTCTCATCAATTGCCACCTGAGCCACATTTGCAACAACTTGCAGTGGTATCACAATCATCAAAACCTTCTTTTCCCTGTCTTGCAAATAGGGTTTCAAGAATGACCAGCCAGTCCCAATTAACACAATCAAAGTGAACAATGTAATTCCCTTCAAAAAGCTAAATATATAGAACAGAATGTCCCATCCATGGGCAGAACCAGTCCTCTTGATAAACGATTTGTCCTCGGTCTCACACAACAAATTCAAAGCTTTCAAAGTCACCACAGCGAGCATGAAGAAATGGATGTGGAAAACCGACAATCGTTTATTGTAAAGAATGAATAGCCAAACACAGATGATTGTGGCATAGATCAAGAAAAACACGAAGTAAATGGAAGGTAGAATTGTTTTACCGGCAGACAAGTAATCGCGATGGCCTGATTTGGCGTCGAGATTGTACATAGCAGATTGGACGTTCATCGAGACTCGGAGAAAGGGAACGCAATTGGTGAAAACGAGAGAGAATTGATTCGAATCGGTGACTTTGAAGCTGGTGTTGATTCGATCGGTGCCGTTGAGCTGGTTGAACGCGAAGAGTTGTTTAACGACATCGGAATCGATAGGGCAAGCGATTTCGCCATCCCGGAGTTGATCGACGACGTGAATCCAGGATTCTCGGGTGCAGAGGAAGAAGCCGACCTTGTCGGGGTTGGTGCGGATGTGAGGGTTAGGGTTTGAGAGGGAGATTTGGGAGACGTTGAGGTCGAGACGACCGTTGTGGGTGAACCCGAATTCGTCGAAGGGGATGGTGGATCGGTCATCGGAGCGGATCTCTTTGAATCGAATCTCGGCGACGGTGGTGGTGGTGGCGAAGAAGAGAGCGACGGTGAGGGTGAGGAGAGAGAAGAATCGTCCGGAATTGGCTGCCATTGTTAGCGGTCTCTCACTTTCTCTCTCTAAAATGCTCAATGGTTATGGTAGAAGAAAGGTGAAGAACGCGAATGCCATGGGATTCAAAAATCCAAATATTTTGAGCTTTTATATTGGTCTTAGGTTGGGCCAAGTCAATAAAAAGGGTTGGGTAAAGTTGGCTAGGATTATACGGCTGTGGGTGTTTTGATTCTGGGCTTTCACTAAAATCAAAACTACAGGCAGGTTGTGCACCATTTATGGAGTCCATTTGAGTGCACCATTCATTCATTCATTGAAATTAATATAATTTACTATTCATATAATTCTATTCGCTCGTAACACAGTTTGACACGCGATGATACCTGATTGTCATCGAATCGTGTAGTGTTAAAAATAACAGGTAAAGTATAGTCACACCCCATGTGATTTTGCAAGACGATATTCATATGAGACTTACATATTTTTTGGATAAAGACACGCCCCTGAAGGTTAAAAAATGAACAAAGACACCCCCTTTACATGAAAAATTGACCAAATTACCCTTTAACCGTTTAGGAGACTTTTTTAACTTTACAATTTAATAAATTGGACCAATCTACCTTCATGAACAATTTATGCATAAAAAAAAAAAGTAACCAAAAAAAAAAAAAATTATATTGTTCACTTTTTTTTTTTTTTTTTTTTTTTGTTATTTACTTTATAAATGTCTCAACTTCTTAAAAATGTAGACGTCTAAAATGATATTTTGATCCAATACATATATTTCAAATAAATTATATTTTGTTATTACTTCTTTTCTTTTTCTTTTTTATTTTTAATTTAAGATGCTTAATTCTTTCATCTAAAAAAATTAAACCAATCTCTTTTCCTTAGAAATAAAAAAATGGTACCAGTATAACTTTATGCTTTTTAAAATATTATGCATTTTCCAACATAAAAGGGGAAAAAAATAATAATAAAACAAAGGGGGAAAAAAAAAACAAAGGCATGCATAAAGTTAAGATGCATAAAGTTATACTGGTACCTATTTTCTTTTATGTTGGGAAATGCATAATATTTGATATGTAATTTAAGATACATGAAGTTATACTGGTACTATATTTTTTATTTTTAAAGAAAAGAGATTGGTTTAATTTTTTTAGATAAAAGAATTAAATATCGTAATTTAAAAATAAAAAAGAAAAAAAAAGAAGTAATAACAAAATATAATTTATTTGAAATATATTTATTGAATCAAAAAATCATTTTAGATGTCTATATTTTTAAGTTGGGACATTTATAAAGTAAATAACAAAAAAAAAAAAAAAAAAAAATTGAAAAGAAAAAAAAGAAGTGAACAATATAAAGTTTTTTTTTTTTTTAATGCATAAATTATTCACGAGGGTCAATTGGTCCAATTTATTAAATTATAAAGTTAAAAAAATCTCCCAAACTGTCAAAGGGTAATTTGGTCAATTTTTCATGTAAAGAGCGCGTCTTTGTCTATTTTGAACCTATAAGTAAATTTTCTCTAAGTATCCTTTTACTAAATCTCAGGGAATGTGACTGTACTTTAACCATAATAATATTAAGAGAACAAGCACGTGAAAAAAACAAGCTGAAAAATAGATTGGACCAAGCTTGCTTATTATTAGAAAAAGAGGAGTACTCTCTAACAAAATTGACGCTTCCTAGACCGTTATGTTGTTTAGCCCGGGCTTTTGAACTGAAATGAGTGGAATGCCCTAACAAAATGGAAAAAAAAAAAATATTTTAACATTTCAATTTTATTTAATCATTACTTTCTTCATGCATTTTAACCAAGTTTAAATTTAAGATGTCCGATTTTATAATATTCTCGGAATGTTCCCATTTTCCACCATATTTGTCCTGGATATTTGACCTAATTCACACAATTTAACGATGATATTTTTTTTAATCCAATTTTATCAATGCAAGCACTATGTGCTATAAATTGCTGATATTTATTAAAGGCTGAATTTTTTTCCCCCGTAAGTATCGAAGGCTGAATTTCCATCCAGTAAAAAAAAAAAAAACACACACACACATAAAAGGATGTGATATTGATAGTTGATGTTCTTATACACTATTTCACAGTCATTGTTTGAAATGGGAGCAAAAAATATGCAAAGCTTATATGATCCTTGGCGTCTTGTGACTGAATGGCTTATAGTAAATGGCACACTGACAGCAGAAATGCAAAATTCAAGTATAGTTTGCTGATCTTTTAATTTGCTGTAGAACTGTTAAAAATGTTGTTCTGTGACTCAACCGAGATCATACAGACACAAAGTACAAGTGGTGGAAGTTAAACACATCTACTAACCTCTAATTGATTATCATTTAATCCCCATTCTTGAATTAATGAGTTCAATAGAGATTGGTGCATAACCATTTTAACCCATATCTTTCTTTTCTTTTTTTTTTTTTCTTATTTTTGGGTAAGTCCAAGGCATTCAAAAGACAAAAGACCACCAAGCCTACTTGAACATTGTTCATTCTATCATGTATTACACACTTATCAGCTACACTCAAAGGTTGGCAACACAACATATCATAAAGCATTCATGTTAGCTCTGGGTAAAGGAGAATAAAGGATTGGCGTGGGAGGGTTCAAAGAATGAGGAAGGGAGGTTCCATTCATCGGCAATTGTCTCTGCGTATGGGCATTTCCATATCTTGGCCGGATGGTTAGATTTGTTCCTGAAGATTCAACCATTTCTTTCCATCTAACCATGGTATACAAAGCTTGCCAAGGTAAGCTTCCAAATCAGAACTCTACTTGATTTTAATTTCTGTCTCCAATTTGAAGATGCCCATACTAGGAAATCATTCCATGAATTCGGGCATGTATAAAATCCACATTTGTCTTACATTTTCTGCCAAATGAATCTTGAGAAGGGGCAATGCAGGAAGATATGATCATGGCTTTCCGCTCCTCTTACGCATAAAATGCATACATTTGGTTGCATTCTGTAGTCCATAACAGGCTTGTGTAGCTAACCATAAACAAAAATAGAGTTTGGGAATCGATGGAGAGAACCAGACTAATTTGTGCCAATGGACCTTGATAGCTGTTGGTGAGAGGGCTTTGAGTGTGTGTTTGAGGGAGTAGGCCTTAGTGGGGGATGGAGTCAATTGAACAATGTCATCATGGGCTTGGTTTGGGGGGTGGGGGGAAGGTTTTGAATATCGCAGTGGGGTGTTATGAGGTTTGAGATATGCCATGGCCAATTCCATTGGTTATTAGAGATAACATGAAAGACTTTCATATGTTTGTTGCATTGTTGCCCTGAAATAATTGGCCACATGGTAGCCAATTGTCGAAGAAGATCATTGTAGAAGTTTCATTGTTCACCTTGTGTTTGACAAAATGCTGAGCAAGTTGTCTATTTTGAAGTAGCTTCCTCCAAAACTATGAGCAGTCATTCAGGATTTTAACTTCCCAAATGCTTCTATTCTTGATGAGATATTTGCATGTCCACTCCTTTCATAAGCTATTTGTGATACCCCTCGATTCTAGAGCCACGGGTGATCAAGTCCGAGCACAGATCCGAGGGATACCAAACAATTAATATGTAAACAAGCAGAAATAAAACTGAATCAAGAACAAATTAATAATACGCTGAAAAAAATCTAACATAAGAATTCTCAAACTTGAAATAAATAAATTAATATGATTTAAAACCATACAACTCGGGAATCCACCTAGTGGACCCCTAATCCCAAATCCTTAAATAAATTTACAGAATTAAAATCCAAAATTTAAAATAGAAAGGAAATCCTATGTAACCGGAAGAGTGAGTGTTTGTATCTGCATCAACACGATCCAGCTCTAAGACTGGTACTGTCGAACACCTGAAAAAATAATAGAGTGGGTCATGCCCACATGCAAGTCCTGATCTATTACGATCCAAACAGTAATCCGATACGCAGATACATCCTAGAAAGACTCAACAATATCTAGAGTAGTCCATATATATATATATAGTACACACTATAAGACGCTCGTTAGTCCAGTAGGTCTGTCTCAGCCTGAATAGAAGGTAACATGCAAATACGCACCCTAAGGTGGGCATGAGTACCTAGACCTACCATGGTCCTGAGACTCAAGCTCATACCATGGCACATATAATAAATATATAAAGTCCGTACTCCTCCTAATACAGAATATCATCCATCTGTGTAGTGGTCTGATATCTATATAATAAATCCATTCGGAAACCATAGTAGATCATTCAATTCACAATTGATATGACACATGTAGGTGATGGACTTAACCTTTATGGTTAATCCATACCTGAATCCAAATTGGGTCGGACTTAGTGTTTTGAACTAATCCATTCCCAATATAGGTAGGTCTTAGTGTTTTGAACTAAGCCATTCCTAATATGACACCGTCCCATACCGGTTCATATACATCCATATAAGTGGGACTTAACCTTTTTATGGTTAATCCAATTCAATCCAAATTAGGTAGGATCTAGTGTTTGAACTAATCCATACCTAGTATGTCACCGTTCCATATCGGTACATACAATCCTCTAGTTCACGTAGTTATTAACACAGTACAATTATTTATTAACCACATCCCAGAATAAGCATAAATATAGTTTAGCACGTATACAACCAATTTATGCATCCAATATAACATTTAGATATCTCATTACAATTCTTTACATATATGAAGAGACTGTACAAATAACCCCTCCAGCTAACCCAGTTGACGGAAACAGTATTAGATACAAATCAACCATAATCCATTATATGCATAATTATCATTTAATACCTATAACAAGTCAATATGAATTATTACAGAATCTAACCATCACATTTTAATCATTTAAAATGCTAATACACGGCGTAGTAATCCAATCCTCCATAAACTCCTTAAATTGAACAGAATTTATAAAAGAAATATATATCAACTAATTCCAAATCAAGAATCGATGGTTACAAGCACTTACTATTCTTATACTTCTGTTTAGATATAATTAAACCATAAATTATATATACCAGAAAAATTCCAAGTTCCAATAAATGGTTTGAATGTTCAAAACAGTTAGCAGCTCCCGATTTTTCTTAAATTTAATTTGCTCCAATTCTTAACCCAATCATGGATTAATATTTTCCATA